CATAGATGATTATCCATAGAGTACGATAAATCTACAAGATCTTAGATGACCATGATTAGAGACAGTTAATGATATCAAGTTAATGCCAATAATATCAGCAAGGTCCATCTCGCAGTTCTCAGAAAATTAATAGTTCCCTTCACAGTTCTTTGCGTCATCTTGAAAGGTAGCCGTGCCTTTGCATCGAAGCGAGACGAACGGTGAGCTTGCAATGATAGAGACATGTGAATAATTGTCCAAGGTGTTAAAAAAAGGTCTCTATCATTGCAAGCTCACCGTTCGTCTCGCTTCGATGCAAAGGCATGGCTACCTATCAAGATGGCGCAGGGAACTGTGAAGGGGACTATTGCATAAATAGCTTTGCGTTCAACCACGCGCACTGTAGTTAGAAAGAGCGATTACTATGGACAGTACTATCTATTTATAGCGCTTCTACAATAACATCATTACCCAATTGTTGCTTCTTTAAAATAAAATTGATAATTAATAACATCGAATTTGTGGATTGATAAATAATGTCCATAAAGGTGCTTTAGGCGTCGTCCTAATTTGACGCTATTGCGTTTGTAACAGAAAAAAAATCCTCCAACTTAACTAACTTAATTTAACTGAGCGCGCGTAGTCGCTAAGTATTCCACCTACTAAACGACAGGCGCACTTACCGAGGTGTGGTTCTATCTATGACGCTAATGTAATCATACTATAAGGAAATGCTCTAACTAACGGCCTGTGCCTGATCTTTCTACCTTACGTTTAAGCAATTTCTTAATAACAACTTCCTTTTAAAATAGCGCGCGCGTGGGTACAATCCCGGAAGAGACGCTATTCCTTTCTGATCTCCCACGGACGGATAAACATTTGCGCAATAGGTGAATCGTGGTCGGGGCGATGATTTGTGATTAGGCTTTGATAATGTGTGAAAGCTTAAGAATCTTCGTTAATATTTCCTATTGMTTTACCCTATGTGAAAGTAATTATTTCATGTGGTCATACGAATTGTTGRATAATAGTTGCCTTTGATAGCCTATATAGCACACCGTTAATCCGGACGGAAAGACGGGTGCGTAGAACTATAGTATATCAATCGACATACTAACAAGAAGGAAGGGGTATGGTGACTTTTATCATCTAATGCATTCAATAGACCTCTTTACCTTTGGGCGTAATATTTTCACATTTCAGTCCACGTGTCATTTCCTCGAGAATAAGATTCTTTGTTCGGAGTGGTATCCATATTCATGTGTCTTCTCATGCACAACCGTTCAACAAAAAAATGATACTCCAGTGAATGACACGTGGTCTGAAAACGCTCAAGTTAAGGACGTTTATTGCTGAGTTAAAATCGGCTGGAAAATGCCTTTGAATCTCATCTTTTCCAAATGGTAATCAATTACTGTTCTATCAGACAGAAAGAATCCTACTTAAAACTTGCGATTCAGCTGATGGACATCCCGCACGAGACAAGTTATGACGTCAATTGAAGCCAAGCAATTTAAGATCGTAGGAAAAGTCCTAATTCCCGACCGAATGCAAAAACTGATGTTGCTAAACTTTATTTGCGGTTGATATCATAGTAAGAATTTCTAAAGCGAAAACAGCGTTGAAAATAGTTGTACAATCTAATGCAAGTGATTGGCTGTTTCTCGTTCCGAAAACTCCTCAGTAGTACGTGCGTAACCTGAAATAATCCTATCAACCTTACTATCTATTGTGTTAATCTCAAGATTATAGAGATACTTTTGAGTTGGTTAAATATGTGGTTTTCTTAATATACCCTGTTCCATTAACCGAGTGGAAAATACGATGCAAGCGACTTCCAGGTTTTTGTGCTTGGAATGYTTCAAAACGTACCTCGCCCATCCTCATCTCTCTCGTAATCGATCTAACACATGGAAAAGTAATATTGATCATTATTAATAATCAATTGGTTATTAATAGTTTGATAATTGTTTCTTCGACAGAGCGCGTACTACGGAAAAGCTGGACCATTTGATTGTCAAAATTCTTTCGTCTGGTTTTACGGAGTGAATAGATGCGCAAAGGCTTATCTCTCTCTAATGAGCTAATGCGACGTTTGCGCGTGTTTGTTAGCGTGAATGTACGAAGCCCCACTAACGCTGATCTTAGCCAATCTACTTTATTTTTTTTGATATAAAACGGTGCGTTTCTATATACTGTGATATAAAGACGCTAGGAGCTGTAGAGCGAGAAAGAAATCGTTGACTTAATTCTCGAGTGCTCTACAGCTTCCAGAATGTTTATATCACAGGCACAGACAAGCCGACGTTTAATATTGCCTTTATGAAATAATCAAAACGTTAAAGAGAGCTGAGCTTGTTTTTTGTCCTCTGATATAAGCATGGTTTTTCAAGCGTTAGCACCAATCAGAGCAAGCGTGGTATATGAAATATTATATAAAAGATAACATAGATAGCCATAATTGTGTGATGATTCTTTTATCGTGCGCGCACTCATAGAGCAGAAGAGTTGGTGCGCAAAGATGTATACATGTATGTTTACAATGTGGTTGTGGTATGAACGTGTGAAACCTCAATGAATGTCATTTAACCTCTCTCTGAAAAAACTACCTTATGCAAAAGTAATCATCTGAGAGTCGAAACCGTTGCTCGTTAATGACGATAGGAAGTCATCAGATCATGGGCCGTTGACGTCATTTTATCGCTATTTTTATTATCAGTCTTGTAACACATGAAACTAAAAACAGGACTTGCCGTAAAGGAAGTCAGCTTCAAATGAATGTTTATTGTTTTCCTATGATATTCTGTAGCGTAAAATCAAGGGGCTAGCGTGGGCTGTTATTGTCATTAGGGGGCTGAAGCCTTGCAAAATCTACGATGGTAACCGGAAGTGTAAATAATGTCTCTTTGGGGTTCTGTTCATTGGAGATTTCATTCAAAACATTGTGGGAAAAGTCAACTTATCCTCAGGGAAGACATACTTTGAAGGCGCGAAACCCCAAAGTGAAGTTATTTACACTTCCGGTTGAAGTTCCCTATTGCATAATCATTATGACTAAGGCGTGTCATGTTATTGTATAATAGGAACGACGGTCAAGATGCACCTCACCGGAAGCACTATCCAGAAGAACAACTACTTCTCAGGTCATTCCTGGAATGATTAAACCAACGGGAAGCCATTTCAGTGCACATGCCTTATTCATTGTTATATTATCACACGTCAATCAACGGACGTACACATACTGAAAAACGTAAGGTGAAAGTGTATTTTAAAAAATTCTGAAATATTTTAACTTTTAACTATGAACCAAATCAACTTGGTCATAATGATTTCCTATTTCAGACCACGCGYATTTCCTTGAGAATGAGATTCTTTGTTTGATTTGCGTCCATATTTGTGTATCTTCTCGTGCACAACCGCTAAAAAAAGGAATGATACTCAAGGGGATACCACGTACTCTAGAATGGGAAAACATTACGACCAAGTGCTGATCAGGCAAGAGGAGAGACAAGTGCGCACGCATGTTCCTGTGCTGTGATATAAACACGCTGGGAGGTGTAGAGCACGATAGGAGCACGCTAGTCGGAAAACTAGGTTTGATCATGCCCTTCCCAAGGGTTTTCCGAGGGATCGGCCCTATAGATTGTTCGGCTACCCGATGGTTGGATCGTGTTATTGTCGGACCTGAAACAAAAGATTCTTAATTTAGAATGTTTGGTCAATCAGGTTTATTAATAATCTGTAGTTCTATGCGTGGTATTCATTAGTTATTTTCCTTCAAGCTTCGTTAGATTTTTGTGCGTCAACACACAGAAATAGCGGCGCGTCCTTCAGGTCAAACATACTTCACTACGCTTAAAAACATCTTGGTAATGRAAGTCCAAAAACACCGCTTTTTCCCTCGGCGCGTTTGTAGTGCTTAAAAGGTTAAGTTCATATTCATCGGCTTCCTTGAAAAATAAAATTCCAGGAAACTTCAAACTCTTGAACATGACGRATTTCTTGAAATATAAACAGCGCGTTCCTCGAATAAAACCTTTTTGGCGCGTTTTGCTCAACCTGCAGGTCAGTGCTAATGTGATTGGAACTGTCTGCTAAATGCGACCTCATTTATTATGTTTTGAAAGCTAATTCAGAGGCTAAGGTCAGTCGTGCCGCGGTCGTGGAATTTCAAATCTTTCTTGGTTTGTGTCAGTCGTTGTGTTTATTAAGATAACTGAAAAATCGATTGATATCGTCTGGATATTGCAAGATTATTATTGGAAAACTTTGAATGCCATTAAGCGACCACCCTATTGGAATTTTCAAGTTATTCGTATATAGAGGATGGTTGAGGAAAAGTTCTGCAAAAATCCTCTTTGGTGAATTGTCAACTGGCTCTTACATAGAGATAGGCCGCTATTAAGAGTACGGCTTTGAGTAAAACCCCTTTTGGGACTTGGACCACCGGTCGCTATATGGAGGCTAGTCACAAAATAGAGGTATAATTGAGTGCAAAAACCTTGTTTGAGATTGACAACTGGTTGCTCAAATACCCTTATTGGGGCTTCAATCGTGCGCATGCGCATCCTGAAGGAGTTCTTTGAATATTTTTGATCGAAAATAACGAGAGAAATCTAGGGTTGAGTCGCTACGACAAACTTGGTTAGAAATGTCTCTCTAAGTCGCTAGGAACTAGCAAGGAAATGATTGGGCCTTTCAGCCATGTTGGATATATTAACCACATACATCCATCCAATATGGCCGTTCTTTGTACTCTTTTTTCCCCTCAACRTATATTTTCCTTCCTC